AGAGAGAGAGAGAGGGGAGGAGTAGATCTTGCGAGAACTTTAAGGCAAAACAAAATGGCGACCCGCGTAGTTCGGCTCGATTCGAAAAGTGAAATAGCCATATATATAGCATCTTTGAAGACGATCAAATTAACATGTTACTTTTGTGCTATAACGTAATTTTTTCTTGGTTTTTATCAATTTGATCATCCACACCGATAGACAGTATTCCAATATGAGGAAAAACAGGTTTTGTTTCACACCGGGTGAGAATAGCCTACGCTGGCAAGTCTCACCCGAGGTGAGAGGTAGATCGTATTTTTATTCTCACCCGGGGTGAGAATAGCCACTTCCTTTCGGAATACTGTCTATCGGTGTGGATGATGAAATTGACAAAAACAAAGAAAATTATGACATAGTCTAGATCTATTTAGAGCACAAAAGTAAGCTAATTTGGTCTTCTACAAAGATGATATTGCTATTTAACTTTTCGAATCGAGCTGAACTATGCGGGTCGCCATTTTGTTTTGCCCTGAAGTTCTCGCGCTACTCCTCTCTCTTTCTTTCTTCTCTCTCTCTCTCTCACTCTCCACTGCCCACAGACAAAATTGCAACGCTTTTAGGCTAACAGTAGTAATACAAGAGCGCTGACTGGAACGTTTGTTGACGGCACAACATTCTACAATTCTGTTATCACAGTGTACAATTCTATGGTTCAGGGTGAACGCTACACTGGTTGGCCGAGAGGCTATAACAGTGAACGCACACCGGGTGAGAATAGCCAAAAGGCTCGCCTGCATTATTCTCACCCGCTGTGAGAATAGAGGTGGCCTTTTTTACTACACACGGCCACCTGTGAATAGCGTAGGCAAGTCTTTTGGCTATGGAAGTGGCTATCCTCACCCGGGGTGAGAATAAAAATATGATCGACCTCTCACCGCGGGTGAGAATTGCCACTGTTGGCTATTCTCACCCGGTGTGAAACAAGACCTGTTTTTCCTAATTTCGGAATACTTTTTATCTGTGTGGAAGATCAAATGGATAAAGTAGCAATGCCAATTGCCCACTGTGCCTTGGGCTGGAAATCGGCCTCCGCGCGAGGGGTAATTTTTGGGCCGCTCTGAATCAGAAGTGACTCTCTTCTAAGTATAGTTACGGGAAAAATCCTGGACGTAAATAAATGAAACTCGGCAATTAACCAGAGGAAAGGTTAAACTAACGACATGCCAGCGTACAATCCCGAACGATTACTAGAACCGGAGATATTGCGGGTTTTCCCGATAGCGCTTTACTGAGTTTTAGAAGGGGTGATCGCGTCGCGGTAAAAACAATGTCACGCAATTAACAAATTTCACTCAAATATCACTCTTTAATATCCAAAGTAATAAAGACATTGAAAAAGTGATAGCAGAACTAGATTCTGCACTAAAAATCACATGAAGATACCAAGTTTCATTCATATGCTCCAATCAATTCATTACTGACTTATGAACAGTTTTTCCTCAAAATACAACAAAACATGTCCCACATTTTGGCGATTTTTTTCATATGAAGGTCTTCCAACATTTTGCAAACAAAAATCCCAATAACTTTTTTATTTATCAATGGATTTTTCAAATTTAAAAACCATAGTTCTTAGAATTTACTCTATTTTCATTTAAGCCCATTTTTAAGCAATTTAATTTTTCATTGTCATTGCCAGAAAGGTAAAGAAAAAATTACGTTATAACACAAAAGTAAGCTAATTTGATTGTCTACAAAGATGCTATGGCTATTTCACTTTTCGAAACTACGCTGGTCGCCATTTTGTTTTGCCTGGAAGTTCTTGCAAGATCTACTCCTCCCCTCTTCTCTATCACTGTCTCTTTCTGAATACTGTCTATCGGTGTGGACGATCAAATTGACCAAAACAAAGTTAAAAAATGAAATGATGTTAAAACACAAAAAAGTAAATTAATTTGGTAGTCTACAAAGATGCTACGGTTATTTAACTTTTCGAATCGAGCCGAACTGCGCGGGTCGCCATTTTGTTTTGCCCAGAAGTTCTCGCGCTACTCCTCTCTCTCTCTCTCTTTCTCTCTCTCTCTCCACTTCCCACAGACAAAATTGTACGCTTTTAGGCTAACAACAGTAGTATTGGAACGTTTGTTCACGGTACAGAATTCTACAATTTTTCTGTTATCACAGTGTAGAATTCTGTGGTTCAGGGTGAACGCAAAATCGGTTGGCCTAGATCTAGGCTATAACGGTGAACGCACACCGGGTAAGAATAGCCAAAAGACTCGCCTGCGCTATTCTCACCCAGGGTGAGAATAGAGATGGCCTTTGGCTATTCTCACTAACGCTAGGGCTCCCCATTACGTATTAAAGCTGCAGATTACCCCCTTTAAGTTTTGGTGGTGCGTGAGTGTTACTCTTTAAAATTTCATTTCGGGGGTTTGCATACGCTTTAAGACTTAAGTTGTAGTGTGCTTCGGGCAAGCATCATTTCCCCACTTCTTAATCACGAAGCCGAGTCAATGATTGATTTGACAATTGACAACACACCCACACACATAACATACACTATAACTTGGCGCGGCAGTCACCTTTTGTCAAAAGCAGCCGACCTACTTATCAGCTGTGCGGTTTCCGGCAGCACAGGCTTGCTTCAGCATAGAAGCTCTGCCCGCATTCTGGTCGTTCGCATTTGCCGGTGTCGTGCCTTGAGTTCAGGCTACCCCTGCCGAGAGATTGCCCAAACTGACCTGGCTACTCAGCCCGATTTGTATCCCTATTTTTTGCCTCAAATCTCAAGCACCTCGATTTCCCGATTTTGATCGCGTGTGTCCCGATTTTTTTGTGACGTCTGTTGTGCTGGATTTTTCTAAAAACTTACTCTGCCCTCTTCTCTTTCGCGGGAAGCACCCATTAAACTTTTTGTTAGCAGGAACTCGGAGCACTATTTCCCGAAATATCAATGCTGGATTTAATAGTTGACTTGCCCCAAGTTGTATTGGATCTTTGCTCGTGTTAGTTCCACTACTATACCTAATGGAGGTAGTATTGATTTGGCATTCCGACTTACGACATTCTCGAGATCTACTTTTGCATTTGTTTCTGCTCAGAATTCTTCAATGATGGCGTGTGAGTTCCGTGTGTGTCGGGGGCCGTCCGTTGACGGGGTCAACTTAAGTTAATGCACACTGGTTGAAGCATCTTTCGAGACTCAAGGGGGGGGGGGGGATAGACACTTAGACTTGGATTCCGTGACGTGATACTTCAGGATTTAAAAAAATAATAACGCGCACACACACACGCACACACGCAGAGCAGAGCACTTATACATAGATAGATCTAGATATATTTTTGGACTCCCGCTGAAAATTTTAAAGACAGCTTGGCAATTTGTCGTTGATCCTGATTCCCCCCCCCCCGCCCTGAGATTCTGATTTTTAGATTTCATAGAGTGGCAAGTCTGACCCCATCCTTTTTTAACACTAGTAAACATGAATTGTTTGCCATTTTTTAATTTTTCTTTTTTAAAACAAAAATCAAAAGTCTGGAAAGACTGGAATGTGAACCCTTGGATGGCTCTGAAGAATAATGAATCAGTCTATTTTATTTGTATATATGTTACAGTCGGAATTTACCCCTTTTAGTTTGTAAACTTTATTTTATTTTTGAATGGCCCAACCACCACCACTTACTATGAAATTAGGAGATAATTGACTTTTGAGGATTAGTTTGTCAGACATAAACAAAAAAACCAACTACCCTTTAAGTTTCTAGAACAAGGGTTTAAATACCCCGTAAGATAGAAAACCAAAGGGTGAAGGAACCTCTTACGTTGGCCTGAAAAGGGGAGCCCTGAACGCTCTCTCTCTCTCGAGAGAGGTAATGTGACTCTCTTTACTCTGCACCTGTTGTCGTATTTCAAGGACCCAGATGATGGGGAAACAATTAGTTGTTGTTTGATGTCACTAAGAAGAGACGAGGACTGGTTTGAATCTGCCAGACTTTGTTATAAAAGATCGTAATATCAAGTCTTAAAGAAATAATAGTAAAACAAGACTGCATTGTGTCGCCACAATTTATTCACTTCTTAAGTTGGACAAAGAAATTTACTCTCATAGTACGTAATGTCATTATTTGTCTGGTAATTCTGTAATTAATATGACATTATGTCGACCAGGGACAACGTGCTAGACTTACTACGACACTATAACCATCGTTGCGATATGAAATTACTGGACTTCTAACTACATGAGTTCGATCGGTGAACATCTTGCCTTGCCACTTAAATTAATTTTCCTCGTTTTTGTTGGTTGATTTTCAGTTTTCTTTTCTTCCTTCTCATCCACTCACTCAATCCCAACCCTATTTCCCTTTTTTTTCCTTTTCATTCTTTTTGTTTTTGTTTATGTGTTAATTTTTGTTATCTTTAATTAAACTTTCTCAGCAATTCTCGGTCGATAGATTTAGCCTGTACCATTCTGTACCTCCTCTTCCCCTCCCCAAACAAAGTTGTACACACACATGCGCACGCACGTACACACACACACACACACACACACACACACACACACACACACACACACACACTCAGACACAAACACACGCACATGCACACACACCTCAAGCAGTCTGCGATGAAACCAACCTCGCATCCCCTAGTGATCATGTAGCCCATCACGCGCTATGCGGCAAAGCAAGCCCACCACTCCGCAGACAAAACCCAAAGAGGAAGTGCAATATATTGGCAGTAGAGAATCTTTGGTGGTAGTATAGTGGTGTCCACCCTTTTTGCGCTATTATTGTCATTGAACAAGGCTATCACTTTCATGTGACTGGGTTTAACGGAAGGAGTGACCCTTAGTTGGCTGATTTTGGGTCAAGCTATTTGTATGCAAAAAAATGAGATGTTGGCTGATTTTGAAAGGTCAGCCAGTTCTGTCTAAAAATAGCAAGGAGATTTTAATTGATAAAATGTGAGGTGTGCTGACAAAATGAGTTACGTCTTGCAATCCGCAAATGGAGACATCGGCCAAAAATCGACATTAGGATCGAATTTGTAGATTTTTCTATGAATGCCAATTCTTTAGCTGTCTTTTGTTATCTCATACTTAAAAACTTCACCTGCAAGCGTGATGTATCTATTTCCTTACGGCTTGAATCCGAGAAGTAACTCATTTTGTCAGCACACTTTACAAGACATTCATGTCGTATATTGCCTTTGAAAACATGAGGTGGGGCAAAATGTGGTGAATTTTAACAGTTCAATAATTGTCATTTTTCTCAAAATGTCATTTTTGGGGTCTCATTTCCCTAGACTCCTTCCCTAGTTTTCATCCTTTTGACATGATGAAATTTCTGGAAACATAGATGGCAAGGCTGCCATCAATATACCGCAAGGATATTTGCGAAAAAAATAATACTTTTACAATGGCAAGCGATTATGCAACCAAATTTTAGAAAATAAGCTCTATACAGTGGGAAAATTCTCTTATTCACATTTTCATTTCTTGTAATATTTCTATGGCATCATATTGTAGATCGGCCGTCACTCCCCCTTTGGATTACATATTACGATGTCTTTGCTCTTGATTTATTTTGATAATTCTTATAATTCTATGCCAGGTACCTACTCAGTAGACATAGTCAAAGAATTTTTCACTCGCATACTTAACTGTCTCTCTTTGTATTGATGCACGTGTGTAAATTAAATAGTGCAATCCACCTCACATATATTATAATTGTCTTTTATGGCTCATTCCAATTCTGTTGTTTGCTCCACCAGCTCCAGCTCCCAACAGTGTCATTCCTTCCACAACGGTGAAATGTGTTGACGCAGACAACATCTGGCAAAAGGGAGAAATGAAACCCTTTCTTCCTCGAGGCAAAGGCAAATGTGATTCTATTGACCATTTCTCGGATCCGGTCAGTGTTTTGCTTTGTTTATTTATAATCTTGGGTTATATCTAGATTTTAGATTCTCTTACTGTTGTGTCCTCTTGCCTTTCATATCCATCCTGGTACTGAAAAGTGAGGGAAAAGAAGGACATGGGGTGAACGGGTTCCTAGATGAATTGGAGCAGGGAGCCAATTATTTGCTTTAGTGTAAAGTTCCAATTTAAAGACAATTTCCTGAAAGTAGCCTAAATATCTACAGGAAAAAAAAATAAGATGGTAACTGATTTCAGACAAAAGAAACGCATTCGTACACACACATTCACACGCATGCACGCACGCACGCGCACGCACACACACACACACACACACACACACACACACACACACACAACATTCAACATACACACACACACACACACATGTATATGCACACTTACACATAGGCACACACATACACACACACATGCACACACGTGCACAGAATAATGTGATAATTTATAACTTGTCTAAAATTTGCTTCCTCTGTCCTTTTTTTCACCTGCCTCCCCTTTTCTTCACATTGTTTTTTATCAAAATATTTGTTCCCCTCACTTTGTTTGTCTAGCTCTGTCATGCGTATACATATTTTTTTTCGAATAGTATCAAGGTCAGGAAAGGAGGGGATGGATTTTTAATTTAGGCATCAGCATAAGCACATTAAGCCTGTGCTTAAATTTGAGTGTTCTACTCACCTGAAGTATTTCATAAAGTACAGTCAAACATAAGGGTCTTGAACACCTAGCTCTCACTGGCAAAATTGAAGGCAAGAGAGGCAGGGGTAGGCCCAGAACAATATACTTAGGGAACCTAAACAAATGGGTAACAGGGAAAGATCAGGGAAACATAGCTTTTTTGAGAACATCCGAACAAAGGAATGAATGGAGAACCATAATCGCTCATGTCTGTCGCAGATCTGGCACTGGATGATGATGATGACAGTCAAACCTGTGTAAGACGGAATCGCAAGAGAGCCAGAAAAAAACTCCATCTTACACAGGGGAATTTAGGGGGAGATGGAAGGTGGGGGGGGTCAAAGGCCCAGCCGGTGGGTCAAGGGTCGCTTGTCCGTTCGGCAGGCAGTGGTCAAAACTTCACACCTCTCAAATTCTATCCTGTCTGATAATGACATGCATCAGTTTTACTTATCCAGTTACCACCAGTGCTTGCCTTTCAAAGGACCACTGTTTGTCTTATTAAAAACAGAAACGTTTGAACATCTTCTTTCTGTCCCCCCTTAGCCCCATCCACCGGTGTAACAAGCACAGTCAACCAATGCCACCCTTCACTGCCATCATGTAACAACGATTCGATGAAACTCTTTTCTCGGCAGGCCGTACAATCAGGGTGGCAGGCATTGGTCAATCTTATTTCACTCCTCTGGCTTCTGGCTACCCAGGAAAGTTTCCGTAGTGGCTCGTAGTGGCTCGGTACTGGAGCACTCTCACGGGCAGTTGTGAGATTTCACATCCACACCACCTTGACCATCTGCATCGCTCAGTGCTCACATGATAGGGTAACATCTACCCTCCAAATTGCATCCGTACTCCCCTTCCTTGTTCAGGGGCATGGCCATGGTGATAAGTTTAGAGCCAGCGGAACCAAACTTTGAGTTTTGTTTGAAATCAGGACTGAGCGGGCAAAGCATTTTCTGTCTAAGACAGGTGAAACCCTCGGAAGGGAGCGGGTTTTTCTTTCTGTTTCTGCATTGGACAGGTTTCCGTTTTATTCAGGTAGTTAAAGAGGAATATATCAAGGGGGGAGCGGGGAGATTCCGTTAAGACAGGTTTCCGTTTTATACAGGTTTCTGTTAAGTCAGGTTCGACCCTCGGAAGGGAGCGGGTTTTTCTTTCTGTTTCCGCGTTGGACAGGTTTCCGTTTTATACAGGTAGTTAAAGAGGAATATATCAAGGGGGTAGCGGGGAGATTCCGTTAAGACAGGTTTCCGTTTTATACAGGTTTTTGTTAAGTCAGTTTCGACTGTAGTCCAAAGTACTGGACTTGCTCTCACCCTCAGACCCTGATAGGGTTAACCATGTGTGAATATATACTTAATTTTGTATGAATTTGCGACTCTACCCTGCAGCGTGTGGCCCGAGAAGGCATTGATGCCAATGAGATTGTGTTTTCCCAATGGATGCCGCTGCCGAAAGATGGAAAGCAGCTGGATATGTCTCGCTGGTTCCAGAACATGGTCAGCGTCATAGAACTGGATCTGACATACAACAGTCAGAATAAATATCGTAAGATTTAGTTCTGTTTTGATGTATGTGTTCTGACTAAGGGAAAGTTCATATTCATTTCGGTTTGGAGAAGTCATGCACGTTTCTTTTTTACCAAAAAGTTTATTAAGATAAAATGTCTTTGTTGCTTATTATGTCTCTTTCTTTGGTAGCAATCTGTCAATTGAGGCCGCGATGTAAAATTTGAAGCCCTGTAACTACCCAGTTTGGATCCTTTTTTTTTGTATCTAGTAGGGCATTATTTTTTGACAAAGAAGAAAGCAGTGTTATCAAAATTGTGTTGATGCACTCCTTGTAGACTCCCAATAAACAGTCATATGTTGCATCTACTAATAAATGTTGAAGGTCATTGCAGTTAGTTTTTAACTTTCTTTCCTTATGTCTGCATGGGTGGTTGGCGGATGCTCTGGTGTGGTTTGCTTCTTTTTTCCTATGAAACATCTATCGTCCTTATCTCACCTTCTTCTTTTTTATGTTTGTCACTCTCTTGTAACGCCTCTAATCTTCTGGCGCTCATATGACCTAATGCAGTTGCGAGAGCCGTAAAACCTCTACTAGAACTAAACTAAAACTTGCTCTCCTTTTATGTGGGGTTTAATTTTTTCTTTTGTTTTACTTCAGCTGAGGACAGAGATGCACATATGGTCCTTGAAACAAGGGTATTCTATCGTAACAAGGAAGATGACGTAAAGGACTGGAAGCTTTTGGCAGCTTCCACTGAGCACAGGACTCTGCAGTGTAGCATTGAGAACGACAATGTATGTTCACCATTGAGTACTATCTGACATGTTTTTCTGATTCCTGCCGTTCCCATCAATGGTTTGATCGATGTTCTCTGAGTTTCAGCATTGAACAGTTGACAAATCTTTTGATGATTTCAGAGAGGTTGTTGTGGTTAGATGACAGGCTGGCATTGAGCTGTATTTATTGGAGACAGTACTGCATTTTTTGGCTTCTAATAATGGGTTTGGTCTTTTTTTTCTTAAATTTGTAGTCTTCTGGGAATTTTTGGTTGCTTGCTGCAATGTTCGCTAGGTTTCAGTGGTTAAGAATGGCGAGATAGTTTTAGGGAGGCTGATGTCGTGGGATGATGGGAAGATAATTGGCCTTTCGATAGTCCGTTGAGGAGCTAATCACAGGGCATCTAGATGTGCAGTTTGTAAAATTCACTCGGAAATGTGTTTTTATATGGACATGAAAGGCGTTGAGCCAAAAAACGAAAATTCGATAAAAATCCACTTTCTGGCGGAAAAAATGCCTATTTTTCCGATTTCGTTAATTTGACGAGCGCCTGATTTCACCACGGTGCCCCTCAAATGTTAACTCCACCAATCAAATAGATACATCCATGCTGCAGGTAAATAGATGCTCTTCCCAACTGCACTTTCAATCTCTGTGTCTTAGTTCCAACACAGAATGTTTAACTGATTCCGTCCATAATTTTTTCAGGCTCTGGACAGAATTATTTTTCCCTGTTCAGTTTTAGACCTGGGGTGCATCTATTTAA